GCCTGACCCTTGTGTTTTATTTTTAAAGAATATATATATATATATATATCTTCAATTAAGCAATATACATATATTGTTTAATATTTTAAAAACCCCACTTCCTCCCAGGTGCTATTTATTCATCTGGATGTGGGTGGTAACTAAGGTATTCATTTGGGAACAGACTCCCCATCATCGTTTACCCTTCCCAGAGAAAGTGGATTTTGTAACTTAGGATACTGCAATCCCAGGGTTGGGGATCCTCGGTCTAGGTCAAGAGGGGGAATTATTTGCTGAGGTCAAAGGCTGGTCAGTAGGATGGTATGTGGTGCAGTTCCTTTAAATTATTGTTAATATGTGGATTGGCTTTTAAAAAGAAAACAAGAGTAAAATGAGCAGCTGGAATTGGGACAAGATTCACAGCTTGAGAAAAGTTTAAGATGGCACTTAAGGGTCGAAACTAATGGGACACTCCTATCAAGTGTCTGTCCCTACCAATGGAACAAGTTGAGGACCCATTTTCCATTTTTGGAGTGTGTGGAACTGGACACACATGGAGGGCCCATGCCTGTGGCTTTGTGAGGAGGAAATCAGACAGTGGAGAAGGCTGGGTAGTAGCCACGTGTCTGCATTAGCTAGGACTCACTCTACAAGTACAATGGAGTCTGCATACTTTTCATTGTGCAGAAACATTGTCTGCAAACTAAGAAATGTCACTAACCAGGATGGCTCCAGGACTTTGGTCAGTGATACACTGTTGTTGTTAAGTGTCATCCAGTTGGTTCCAACTCATAGGGACCCTGTGTACAACAACATGGCCTGGTCCTGTGCCATCCTCACAAATTGTTCTTATGATTGAGCCCGGCCGATGCAGCCACCATGTCCATCCATCTCTTTTTTTGCTGCTCCTCCACTTGACAACACAGGATGGCCTTTCTCCAGGGACTAGTCTCCCCTGATAGCATGTCCAAAAACACATGAGATGAAGTCTTGTTAGCCTTGCCTCTGGGCAGCATTCTGGCTGTACTTCCCCAACAGCCTTGTTTGTTCTCTTGGCAGTCCCTGTTACTTTCAATATTCGTCACCAACTCCATAGTCCAAATGCATCAACTTTCCAGTGATCTTCCTTATCCAATGTCCAACTTTTTCACACGCATACTACGTGTGAAAAACTAGTATTTCACAAAATACTACAGCTCGGGGCAGGTGCACCTTAGTCCTCAAAGTAGCATCCTTGCTTTTCAATACTCTAAAGAGGTCGTGTGCATCAGATTTACCTAACACAATGCATTGTTTGCTCTCTTGACTACAGGTTCCATGAGCAGGATGAAATCCTTGACAACTTTAATCATTTCTCCATTTATCATGATGGTACCTATTGGTCTAGTTGTGAGTTGCAGCTCTGGTGGCATACTGCTTACACGTGAGGCTGGTAACCACAAGGTCCAAAGTTTGAAACCACCAGCACTGCTCAGGAGAAAGATGAGGTTTTCTCCTCCTGTAAAGAGTTACAGTCTCAGAAACCCACAGGGACACTTCTACTCTGTCCTATGGAGTCACTCTTGGCCAGCATCTACTCGAGTCACATTGACTCAATGGCAGTTTTGTTTGTTTTGTTATAATCTATACTGAAGGCTGCAATCCTTGATCTTCATCAGTAAGTGCCAAATTGTTAATAAACCTTCCTCCAATCCTGATACCACTGTCCTCGATGTGATCCATCAAGGAGATATTTGCTCAGCATACAGGCTGAGTAAGTATGGTGAGGCTACACCACTGACCCACCTATCCTGATTTCAAACCATGCAGTCTTCCCTTTTTTGTTCAAACGACCGCCTCGTGGTCCCTGTTCAGGTTCCAAAAACCTCAGTGACGTCCTCAGGAACTCCCATTCTTTTCCAGATCATCTGTACTTTGTTACGATCTTCATCGTTGATTGCCTTTGCATAGTGAATAAAACACAAGTAAACCTCTTTCCGGATCTCTGCTCTCTGACGACATCAGCAGTGATAACCTTCGTTCCATGACCTCTTTGAATCCACCCTGAACCTCTGGCAGTTCCCTGCCCATGTACCGCAGCAACTCTTGTTGATCTTCAGCAAAATTTTTATTTTGCCTTTAGTAATAGTCTTCAGCTTTTTGAATATATCTCTTCTTTTACATTAAAAAATAAGACAAAACGCTATTGCTTTCACATAATTTCCTGTTCCTGTACCAGAAGGCAGCATGAAAGAGAGACTCTTCGGGCTCTTGCTTACCCAGGGCTATTTAACCATCGCCAGGTCTCCAGTTTTTACTTGCTTTTAAAATAAATGTTGCAAATCGATATCAACTTGATGGCAGTTTTCTGCCTTTTTTTTTTTTTTTAATTAAACCTACTCCAAAGATTTATTAGTGAGATGAGCTAAGAGTACCTAAGACACTGTGCCTCCATCCCTGGGTGATGCGCCCTGCCCGTGTTCAGCTGCTTACTGAAAGGTTGTTGGTTCGAGTCCACTGCGAGGCACCAGGAAACAAAGGTGTGGTGGTCTTCTTCTAATACTCCAGTCACTGAAAACCCTCCGGGAGCACAATTCTACTGACACACCTGGGTAGCCTTGAGTTGGAATCTGGTTCACTGCATACTACCTGCGTGGGAGCCATTTGGTAAATGGCAAATAGATTCTTATCATGTAAAAGTGCTTCATTGTTATGAATCTTAAAATGTGTCTTAATGAACAGAAACTACAGGGCTAGTAGAGCTTTTTGCTGAGTGAATGACCAAAATGTAATTGCAGTTCCCCCTAGAAGTGCCCCTCTGGGTTTCGGAGACTGATATTTCTGGGCAGCCGTGCGGGGCAGCTGGTGGTTTCAAACTGCTGACCTTGCTGTTGGCAACCCAGTGGCACATTCTTTCATATCTAATTTTTGTTTGTCAGACCTGTAGGCTTTAAATAAAATTATGAAAATGAAAACTTCTGCTGATTTAAATAAAGTTCCCATGGCAAATTCTTTCTCTCATTGCCCAAAGAGATGATGAGGATTTTAAGTTCAAATAGTCAATCCTTGAAAGATAAAAGCTACCAACAATAAATAAGTGGTGCTGGAAATCAAGCATAACATTTCTCCAAGACTCTACACAGCAACAAGTGCTTTTTGTTTTTCAACATATCCATGCACAAAGAGTACTACTGGACTCATGACTGACTCATGGTAGCAAAAGCGAAATAGACTGAATGATTTGCCAATGTCATGCTATTGCAATCAGCCCACTTGCAGAGGGGAAAAGAAGTTTCCAAAAGTTCAAAACGACATTGATCAAACTCAAACAGAGAACATTAAACAGATGGCAAATGAGTGGTTAAAGAGGTAGTATGACCTCACAAAGAACGAATCATTTTGTTTACTCCATTTATTTAAAAAATCTTAATATACTAGTATATTAGGCTACTTCCCTGGGTAACGCAAGTGACTGCTTTCAAAACACGACACAACGGTCTGATGGTATCATTGTAGGGGAGCTGTGGATGGGTGTGACGCAGAGCTGGTTGTGGCTTGAACCACCTCCGTCATCTAGAATGCAGTCTATGGTGGAGCGCTGACCACATTTCATCCTGTTCCAGCCAGTGCTCATCAACATGTGATCAAGGCCACTAAAATCTAAAGGCATGCTTTATCAAAACCGGAACTGACCTACAATGAAGAGGAAGAATTTGCACCTACAAGAATCTTCCGAAGTTCATTTCAGTAAGGATACATGTGGCCTTCCAATTAGGTTAAGAAATAGTTTAAGATGAGGAGTGGGCCTGATTATTGATAATGGAAAAACCTGTGGCAACTGTGATATGCCTGCCTAATCATAATCATGCCAGTCATATCAGAATCATCACGAAGCTGGCAGTAATGCCTCCGGACCTTGCCCTGGTGGCATAGTGACTTAAATGCTTGGCTGCTCCCCAAAACGTTGGTTGCCTGAACTCAGCAGTTGCTGCTCAGGAGAACGGTGTGTGTGGCACTTGGCTTCCACACAGACTCTAGCCTTGGAGTAGAAAGGTCCGGGCAGTTCTACTTTGTCCTACAGGGTTGCTGCGAATGAAGAAGGACTCACAAGCCCTGGCTCTCAGCAATGTGATTTAAGACGCACCGAAAAGCGAGTCAACCCCAGTATGGTCTGGAATAGACACAAGATGTTAGAAAAGTAAGGAGTTTCAGGGGAACATGGAGAAGTGACCACAAGAGACAAAGCCTTTTTTGTTTAATTTTATACATGTGCTATTTATAGAAAAGTTTGGGCAAAACTTTTCAAAAATGAAATCATTTCCTTGTAGGAATGCCAAGTTCTCCAACTCTGGAAGCTCTGCCTAGGTGAAAATTGTTACAAGAAAGAAATAATGTTGGCATGACAAAAGGAGGTGTACCACTGAGGGCCAAGATAGTATTTTTTTCAAACCCCCGTTTGTTCTATTAAGGGAGAAACAGAATTCTAAACTTTTTGAAGCTTCTAGGTGGAATCATGAGCTTTCTAATTTAATCTCGGCATAACCTATCAACAGCCAATCAACTCCTATGAAATGAATGAGGTCTTTGACCGCATCAAAACCCAAGCAAAATCTTTCTAAACATGTGGATTTGACAATATTCACATGCATAATTTGAAAGGAACCAGAGGACAGACAGGCAGCCCCCTCCTCTTGGAATGGAGAACTTGTGAACCAGTGTAGAAAGCAGGCTCTGCTGAAGCTACAGGATTGCTAACCACTACCGAGGCTGGAGAGGGCGGGCAAGTCCTTCTGGAACTTTCCAATGGATGCAGCCACCAACCACTTCCGGAGGGCTGGGCTCGCAGTTGGGGCTTCTGGGGTCACAACTGGAGGGTGAGAAAAATCACAGCCTGGGAGCTCATTTTAGCTCTGTTATTGCCATGAACTGTAACTTCTCTATAGGTTATATTATAAAAGTGATATGATTGCACAATTAAATATTAGAAATGACAACTGAGTATATTCTGTTTATTGTTTATGACTTACACGGAAATCGATGGGTTGGAATTGTAGAACAAGAAACCAATCATTACATTTAGACCTCGGCTTTTGAAAAACTTGCATTCCATCCATTTTAACAGTTCATATATATTTAACAGCTTATATATAAATCCAGATCACAAATAATCTTGAAAAGTTAAACAATTAGGAAACATCAACAGCAACAAAAAGTCCACATATATCTAACTTTAAATATCAGCACTCTTATTACAATAAGCAAGTGTTAAAAAAAATAAAATTAACCAGGCTGTCACTTAACATATAACAAAGAAATAAGAGAAACTATATTTTAATTAATATTCATACTTTCTAATTTACCTTCATATAATCTTAATTTTTTTAAAAGATCCAAGATATAATTCAATTACATTTTAGTGTCTAAACTCATCAGCTTCAGCTTATAGCAACTTGTTACCATGACAATCCTAAAACCTCAATTCTCTTTCCTTTAAAAAAAGTAATAAAATAAGCCAACTCTTCGACTTTTCTCCTTCGTAGCAGCTGTTTATAGATAGTTAGGGAGCTAGGAAGGAAGGACAGTAACAGATGGAAAGCAAAAAGTACAACACTCCTGGTTGCGTTGAGAACCAAGACCTTTTCACAACAAGCAGACAATAGCTACATCTTAATGGGCAAAGACGAAATATTTTCTTTGGGACAGCTGCTACTAGAAGAAAACCAAAGTACCGTAATACTGTCTAAACATAATGTGTGGCTTATTATGAATAGAAATCAGTAGCAATGTCAGTTTAGCCAGTAAGTGTCACAAATGATCGATATTACTTGGGGGGTGGGGAGGAGGCAACAAAGAAAGATTACATTTGCCACGAATGTTCACAATATACATATGAGAAGTAGTATTAGTCTGATCCGAAATGAAGTATGGATGGGAGATCCCCAAGTAGAAAACAAGCCGAGATGGGCTTAGGCAACAGCAGCTATGTACATCAGGAGGGAAACATGCTAATGCAACACGAAGGCCTGAATGGAAGCATCTCCAAGTCACAGAAGCCCCAAAGGTTCCCTAAATTACAAAGTCACCACATTACACACATGCAAGGTTCAGCTTTGCTCGACCCATAAAAGGGTAGCACGGTATTTTGTTGTAACTACCAGACACATTTACAATATATGCACAACTTAGAATGCAAGGGTTATGCTCCTTCGGTGTGAGCCTCAACTATGCCGACTGTGACAAGTCACTTATAAGGTGGAGAAAGGGCCGGAATACAGACAATCTGGGAAAATACACAAAGAAAACGCAATTCTGCATTTGGAGAGACGGTAGGAATATTTGTGTCCAAATTAATCCATCATTGTCACATTCAGACGGCTGTGCACTCACTCTGCACCGGGTTTTACTTGTGAAGATGGGATGTTTGCAACACCCTCCGTTCCCTACTGTGGATGCCTTACACTCGGGGAAGGTGAGCATCAGCCACTTCTGTACACACCGCCCTGCTGCGTGTCATCACCTGAAGAAAAAGCCGTGCTGTTTACATAATTACAAAGATGGATCCCACTGAAAACCTAAGGAAAATGATTTCCTCACATTTGTCCAAGTCTGTGGACAGAAGGCTTACCGGACAAATCTGAGGTCGGACCCGTCTTTTCTCTTTTAGAAATATTAGTAAGGAGCTGAGTTCTATGCTCAGTCCTGGTCTCCTCGCCACTGTACAATCATCTATTACCGATGCCTGTTTACTGTGGTTTAATTTCAAACAACTCAGTTGAGCTCCAGGTGAATAATTTACCCAAATAAATTAATGTAAAGAAACATTTCTAATAATATGAATAATCCCTGCTTATGAATACTTTAAAGGTATACATTACAGCACAGCGCGATTTAGTTATGCTATTTTTTAAAAAGAGTGGCCAAATATGTCTTTTATGTTAAAGAAATCTGTAGAATTAACCATTTGGTTTTTGTAGAATTCTGATTTCCCTTGAGAATACAACAGAATGAGTGTTTGAATACTTCATGCTAGTTTATCAGACTTTCCAAAATATCTGAATGAAAACTGCATTAAACTACCTCTAGTTGATATTTATTAAACAGATATGCTGTGAGTGTTCTGAGCCTCAATGATCATTTTAGCCAAGTAGAAACAGGTGGAGTACAAGCGTGGGAAAGATCTGAGAGGCCAGCTGACTTAGTTCACCGTCTCAAGCACTGAGCAGAGGAGGTTTTTCATCGGCTTTACTCTTCCCTCAGGACTAGTCGTTAAGATACATCCATCATCTTATTAGATAATGTGTTTTATTACCTAACCATTTCACAGGGATTACATCTAAAAGATTTAAAATTGTTGAGATGCTCTGGCCAGGATTTTAGCCTCTGACAAGTCTCTATTTGCAACCAAGATGCCAGAGGGGATGTCTTTCTAAAACACTCCTCCGTGGTGTGAAGCAAGTGGTCTGATGTCAAGAGCAAAAGGACCAATGAGAAAGCGTGCTTTAGAATTCTTTTTATTCCAAAGAAACCAAATTCTGCTACTCTTGTGATCACAAAGTCATTTGATGAAATAGGAGAGCTTATTCACAATCACTCAGCGGCAGGACTTTAGACAAAATCAGTAATATGTGCCACATAGATGATTATTTCTTCGAGAGAGAGAGAGCTAACTGATAAACTCGACTTTACAGTAAATATCAACATATTCGACTAAAGAAAATGCACTGTTCAACATTCACCTTGAAAATGCTTAGTATTTTCCACAAACTTAAATTCAGTTTAGAAAGGTTAGTATTCTCTTTCTAAACTATGGCATATACTATATATAGCATTTTAAATATATTTATATATAATTATTTGCACATTGGATTGAGAAGGAATCTGCAGATCTACTTTGATAGAATGGTTGAGCTCTGGCAGCTGTTCAGGTTTAGGAGGCTTCTGCAGTACTGTCGTTTGAAGGCGGGGAATCGTGATCGGGCTCGGAAGAAGCAGCTGCCGAGGCTTCGATGACGGCAGGTGGGAAATGACGACGACACACAGGGCATGTTCCCGACTGAGGGAGACAAACCCAACGGGTTAGCAGGCAACAGAAACTAGAATCTTAATAAAGAAAAAAACATCGCTTTATCCTAAAACAAATCAATTCATTTAAAAATAAAAGCCAAATAAAATTTACATCCTGATGATACAGAAAGACAAAACGCTATGCTAGTGCACTGTCACCCTATCTGACTCCCAGTTCTTTGAGGGTAAACAGTGTCTTCAGCATTTGTTTGCCGTTTTGGCCATTTGTCTTTCAGTGAGGGAGTATCGGAGGAGCCGCCTCTGCTGCTGCACGCTCTGCACTGGCACTGTGGTGGAGGTGGGGCACACATAGGCATGCGTCTTTGGAGCTCACTGTAGCTCAACAATTACTGGAACTGAAGCTGCTGGGTGACCTTGAACTGCCAACCTTCAGGTTAGTGGCGGATTACAAACTGTTTGCACCACTCAGGCACCTTATAGTACATAGACAACAAAAATCAGATCTGAACGAATTCATGTAGCAATCAGTCGCTCAGGACCTTACTCAGATAAACTGAGGCTTTGCAAGTCAGTAGAGCACAGCCATGTCAGCAGGTGGACCTCAGACCTTCTTATAAGCCATCGAACTCTTCAAATCAAGTCAAACCCAAACCAAACTCGCTGCCATCAAGTCGATGCCGACTCCTGTCGATCCTATAGGACGGGGAGAACTGTCCCTGTGGGTTTCTGAGATGGGAACTCTTTGCAGGAGTAGAAAGTCTCATATTTAAGTACCTACTAAATAAGGAAGCAAAGTGATCAGAGACCTGGGAGGGAAGGAGAAGCAGTACTGAGAGGATAACTTTCTAGGGCCAATGGAGGATTCTAGAGATATATAATCTGATGATGTCACTGACAATCTGGTCTTTGCCCCAGAGATCTTCATGATAAAAAGGAGGGTAAGAGATTATGACAGTGACAGAGTTGTATTTTGGGAATGATGTTTCCAGAAGAAATGGGAGAGGCTTTATAGTAAGTTGTTTCCTGACGAGAGAAACCTGAGTTTACCCTGGGTTATGGCTGCGTCCACTACAATTCAGGGCTTACTAAATAAACTGTCTCTAATCCAAACATTCAATTCAGGAAACATTTGCTATCATTTATCATGCAGACTGAGCTCTAACAAGATTTTTGGAATCAGAGAAATGAGCGTGATCTCAACCAAAATTATATTTTCTGTGTAACCTTAGTTGACTAGCCCCAACGGAAAAATGGACTCGTGATACCAGGATGTCCCCGAGCTATTGTGAGGCTTCAATGAAAAAGTGTACATGAAACACATGAGCAGGGGCACAGAAAACCACTGCCTTAAGTCCTTAGTGTTGCCATGGATATTTAAGAAAGACGATTTTAGGGACTTTAAAAGGTGAAATTTGGACAGGACCTACACAGGTGACTGAATCTTACAAGCAGTAAGGGGTATTGTACAGGGCAAGATCGTGCCACACTGAACAAACATTTACAAGTGGATAGAAGAGCAACTCTGGGGGCTAGATCATAGCTGGTTTTGTGAGAGCCAAGATAGAAACTATAGACTATTTTATCTGTCAAACGGAAGTCAGTCTGTCTGTTTCACATTTCAAGAAAATAATCTCTACTGGAGGTTGAGAAAATTAAGTTAACTACTCTAGTAGTTAGCAACCACTTGTATGTCAGTTTTTAGGAACAAAACCAAAGAGTACCGCACGGTTTAACATTAAGAAAGGCGTACACCCTCACTTCACCCTTACTCAATCTGTATGATGAGCATGTGATCAAAGAGGCTGGAAGAGTTGAAGAACACAGCATTAAAATTGGAGGAAGGCCTATTAACAACCTTGATATGCAGATTACACAACTTTGAAGAGGGCTTAAGACACTTGCTGATGAAGATGAAGGACTGTATCCTTCAATACGGATTACAACTCAATGTAAAGAAAATGAAAAGCCTCTCAACTGGACCAGTAGGTAACATCATGATAAATGGAAAGGAGGTTGAAGTTGTCAAGATTGCATCTTGCCTGGATCCATAATCAGTGCTCAGGAGTATAGCAGTCAAGAGACCAAAAGATGGTTGCACTGGGTAAATCTACAGCATAAGATCTCTTTAACATTTTGAAAAGCAAGGATGTTAGTTTACGGACTGAGGTGCGCCTGACCCAAGCCATGGTATTCTCCATTGCCTCACATGCATGTGAAAGTTGGACACCAAATAAAAGACCAAAGAATTGATGCATTAAAATTATGGTGCTGGTGAAGAACATGGAAAGGTCCTGGACTGCCAAAAGAACAAACCAATCTGTTTTGGAAGAAGTATGTCTAGACTATGCCGTGGAAGCAAGGATGGCAAGACCTGGTTTCATGTACTTTGGGTATCAGGAGAGACCAGTCCCTGGAGAAGGACATCATATTTGCTTAAAGTGAAGGGGCAGAGAATGAGAGG